TCTGTTTTCTCACCTGGAAAAAAAAAAAAAAAAAGAAAGAAAGAAAAGAAAAAAGAGCGGCATTCTCAGGCTTGAGTTTCTGTTCCAGCCCTGTGGAATCATTCTCTAATGATTTGCCTCTTACACCTAGAAATTGAGCACAAAGGAAGGGCATTAAGTATGTCTGGTTATTTGTACCGTCAGTCAATGCTTGACTAAACGCCTCCCATTCTTTCTTAATTATTTTATTTTCTATTTGGATGGTTATTCTGAGACTGCATTTCACTACCTAGACCAAGATGGAGGCTGACCTGGAACTTACTCTGTAACCCACGCTAACCCCAAATTCCAAATTCTCTTGCCTCGGACTCTCCAGTACCAGGTTTCAGGTGTAGTCCCCACAGCTGGCTCCCCCTCTCCTTCAATGTCTTTATTTTGCCATTACTTGATTATTTGGCAGTTCAAATACTGAAGGGAACTCAAGGCATTCACTCTTCAAAAGCTCCTTAATACAGACTAGTTTTGTAAGAGAGAGAATGAGCACATAAAATTGCATCGATATTTGACTGCAGGAAGCTGGAATCATGGTAATCAAATGCTCTCCTAATCCATGAGAATCAAAACAGGTATCATGGCTTCTGCCTTCTCCCTTCTTTGTAAGGGATCTATCCCAAGACCTTCAGCAGATGCTGAAACCCCAGATAGGGTCTATCTCTGTCTGTTTGCTATTATCTATCTATCTATCTATCTATCTATCTATCTATCTATCTATCATCTATCTATCTATCTATCATATATGATATTCTTATTCTATACCCACATACCTATTATAAAGATTAATTTCTAAGTCAGGCATAGTGATTTCATGAAAACAACCAAAACCAAAACAGAGTAATTATTGTTACAGTACAGTATAACAAATTAAATATATTCTGTCTCTTTGAAAATGTCTTATGGTACTTTCCCTTTTTTCCTTAGGGGAAGCACTTCATGGCCTCTCTTTAGTATATTTAAATTGCTGGCAACCCTACCTTGGTAACATTATGAAAACAGAATCGCGATCACTTAGGCACGTGAGATGGTTCAGTGGGTAGACATTCTCATCACCAAATCTGACGACCTGACCTTGATTCCCAGGATCTACATGAGAACTGACTCCCCCAAATTGTCCTTGACCACCACATGTGAGCCATGGCATGTGTGTGTCCCCCACACACAAATAAATGATTTTTTTCATTTTTATTATTTCATTTATTTATTTGTATATTTATTATTCTATTTCATTAAATTCTTTTTCAGGTAGAGATTACTTAAACACACCATGTCTCTATAACAGTGGATCTGATAATCAAGACAACTGCTGACTAGTGGGTGAGTACCATACACAGCGTGGATATTACTAGACAGATGTATCTGCACGGTTCTACTGCACTACTCAGAACACTATCCAATTTTAAACCTATATTTAATTCTGGAGTTTTCCATTGAATATTTCCAGACATAGTTAAACTAAGGAACTGAAGTCACTTAAAAAAAAAAATCTAGCCGGGCGGTGGTGGCGCACGCCTTTAATCCCAGCACTCGGGAGGCAGAGCCAGGCGGATCTCTGTGAGTTCGAGGCCAGCCTGGGCTACCAAGTGAGTTCCAGGAAAAGGCTCAAAGCTACACAGAGAAACCCTGTCTCGAAAAAACCAAAAAAAAAAAAAAAAAAAAAAAAAAATCCAAACCTATGGACAAGGAAGGCTAGTGAACTGGCCCACATGATTAAAATAAGGTAAATTCGCTACCCCAATATATTGCAGATAAGTTCCTTCCCTTTTTAACTGTCTCTTTCTTTGTCCCCAGATTCTATGTGATCATCTAAAAGGCATCCAACATTTAAAAATACATGAAAAATGGGAAGCAAGCTAGCAGCATCCGTTGAATTGCCAGATTCACTAGATATCCCATTGAAGAGGAAGCAGGAAGGAGTCAAGAGCCTGAGAAAGGCAGAGGCAGCAGCTGGCAGGAGTATGTCCAGCACAAACTGGATTTGTATGTACCATTTTCTACCTTAGGATTCTGTCTTCCACAGCCTACCCGCCATTCCCAGGCCAGGTTGGGAGTCCCCAGCTTATCAGACTTATCTCCCAAAGGGCACACTTATGGAAAATGAAAAGGTCAACCTGAAGTTATGTACACTTCCCAGGTTCAAGGACAAGCCAAGCTTGAACATTTTTGGCAAGAAACTAAAAGTATAAAGACTGACCTAAGAGAAGATGAAAAAGGAGAGAGAGAGAAAGCCTAGAACTCTAAAGATAATTCCAACTGAAATGTAAAAATCATTGATATGATTTAACATCATACCCCAAGGTCACAGAGATGGCCCTGGGTCACAAAACAAAACCAATAGTCATGGGTCTCAGAAAGGGACAGTGTGGGGAGTGGGTAGACATAAGAAGAGAGAGTTGGGGGAGGAGAGTAACCAGAATGCATTATGTCCATGTAGGAATTGTCAAAGGACTAATTAAATAAAAATTGTGAAGTCAATCATACAGAAGGATGCAGCAAAGCAGTCGTCACTAGAGACTGGGAAATGTGAGGGGAGCAGGCAGTAAGGCGCTGAAGTATGTGCAAGTCTAGTTCCTACAGCACAGCACTGTGGCTATCAGTTCAAGCAAGCTAATGATCATTTCCAAATGACTGCCATATAAAAAACTCCTGGCCCATAAAATGATTGACATCCAAGGTGATAGACATGCCTTTCACTCTGGCTAGTTTGCCATACACTGCAGTCCTGTATCAAGTTATGAGAACACACTCCGTGAAGATATAACAGAGTTGTATTTCAATAGAAAAATGGGAAAAAATAGAAGTTTAAAAAGTAGCACATCCAAAATAAGTGGGAAGAGAAAAAAAGAAACAAGTGTTCTTCTCATCTTCAATATAAGAAGAATCTGGGGGCTGGGGATTTAGCTCAGTAGTAGAGCGCTTGCCTAGCAAGCACAAGGCCCTGGGTTCAGTCCTCAGCTCCAGAACAAAAAAAAAAGAAAGAAAGAAAAAGAAAAAGAAGAATCTGAAACCAACGGCAACATCTTGTCATCCAGCTGCACTTTATAAGAAAAAAAGAAAACGGGTAAGTGCCAAAAATATTAGAAACTGTTGACAGAGATATTATTAGGAAGTTTCTGTTACGGGAAAAAAATAACGGAAAAATATTTATATAGTGCTTTACTCTGCTAATAAGCAGAGAGAAGAAGAATGATCTGCATACTGTCTTTTCTACAAAGGGAAGGAATGAAGCCCCAGAACAACTCAGGGTCCTGGATTCAACCACAGAACATTGGCTCTGGTGTTATCATTAGCAAGAAGTCCAGATTTTCATAGAACTTATTTAATCTCTGTAGATTTCCTCCAAAATCATAAGAGGACTGCTGAGACCTTATGACACTGACCTGAGCACACAGACCACTAATGATGTCAGTCCCTGCCCCATTGTCTCCAAAGCCGTCATCATCAGTTCCCAGGATGGCAGCCGCACAACTTACCACAAGACTGGAACCTCCATCTCCACAGCAATGCAATACCAGTGCTACAAAGGGCCTGCAACCAGAAAAATGGGTCAGCCGCACCTCTCCCCCACCACCAGGGCCATTGTTTTATCCTGAAATCCAACAGCAGCCAGCATCCGTGAGGCCAGGGTGGCTAGAGGCACTGGAACAGTGGTCATGCATTAAAAGAGGTTATATAACACCAGCCTTACACACTTTGTGTAGCTAGAGATGTGTGCTTGACTCCAGCAGAGCTCACTGCTCCATAAGGATATCAGTGGCGTAGTTAATATGTGTACTTGGAGAGACAACGAGGATATTGTCTTTGTAGATACTAAACAGTGCATTTGAGTTTTGTCCTATGTCTTTCCACCTCCAGATCAGTGGATTTCTGTTTTGTTTTTGTTTTTGTTTTCTGATCTATCTTCCAGTTCACAAATTTCCTTCAACTATTTGTTTATTCTGATGTTAAATCATTTCAGTGAATTTTTCCATTTCAGTTGGCTTTTTTTTTTTTTTTTGAGTTCCGGAATTTATTTTTCTCTGTTTTCCAATCTGTTAGGTCAGTTTTTATACTTTTAGTTTCTTGACAAAATGTTCAAGCATGGATTGTTCTTGAACCTGGGAATTACAGTTGCTTTATAGTTTGGACCTGATAAATCCCATACTGCAAGCTTCAGCAGGTCTACTTTTCTTGTCTGTTATTTCTGTTGATGATGGTTTATGCTCAGTCATCTTTCACTGTGTGCTGGACAGTGTACCTGAAAACACTATAGAAATAATTTGACACATACTGTCTTTCCCCTGATACTATTGATAGGAATAAAATTATTTTATCTATAGCAGTAGGATGTGTGTGCATATGGTGTGTATGTGTGTGTGTATATGGTGTGTGTATGGTGTGTGTGTGTGTGTAGTGTATGTGTGAGTGTGGTGTGTATGTGTGTGTGTATGGTGTGTGTGTGTAGTGTATGTGTGCGTGTGGTGTGTATGTGTGTGTGTATGGTGTGTGTGTATCTGTGTAGTGTATGTGTATGTGTGGTGTATATGTGTGTATGGTGTGTATGTGTGTGTATGGTATATGTGTGTGTATGGTATATGTGTGTGTATGGTGTATGTGTGTGTGTGTATGGTGTATGTGTGTGTGTGTATGGTGTATGTGTGTGTGTGTGTATGGTGTGTGTATGTATGGTATATGTGTGTGTGTATGGTGTGTATGTATGGTGTGTATGGTGTGTATGTGTGTGTGTATGGTGTATGTGTGTGTGTATGGTGTGTGTGTTTGTGTGTGTATGGTGTGTGTGTGTGTATGGTGTGTGTGTGTATGTGTGTCCTGTACATGTGGAGAACAGATGTTATTATCAGGTGTCTTCTTCTATCGTTCTCCATTTTTTGAGACGAGGTCTGTCACTGAGCCTGAGACCTGTCTCTGTCACTTCCCAGCACTGGGGTCATGAAGAAGTGCTGCCACGCTTTGTATTTTACATGGGTGCTGAGGATCCAAACTCAAGTCTTCATGCTTGCACAGCAGTACTTTAGTCCCCAAGCCATTGTCCCTCAGCCAAGTGTGTTGTGTGATATCTTGTGCTCTGACAAATAAAGCATGCCTGGAGATCACAGGGCGGAGCTAGTCACTAGTTAACCATAGAGGCCAGGCAGTGGTGGCACACACCTTCAATCCCAGCACTTGGGAGGAGGAAGCAGGAAGATCAGATGTTCAGGATATTCTGAGCTGCATAAGATTGAACCAGTCTAAAAGAGAAACTTTTAGTTTTGGTGCACATCTTTAATCCCAGCACAATCAGGAAGCAAAGACAGGAATATAAGGTGGGTGGAGACAGGATCTCAGCCCCCATTTGGTCTGAGGATTCATAGAGGTAAGAAGTATCTAGTGGCGGCTGCTCTGCTTCTCTGATCTTTCAGCTTTCACCCTTGATATCTGACTCTAGGTTTTATTGTTAAGACTAGTTAGGATCATGCTTCATCTGGCGCACAATGTGGAGCACAAACCCAGGACCCTGAGATTAAGAGTCACATGCTCTGCCGACTGAGTATTGTTAAAATAATCACAAATCAGCAGTTTCTTTTTTCCCTCACCATGCCCCCTTTATCTCTGGCAGTTCTGGGAACTGAACCTAAGGCCCCATGCATACCAGGTAAGTACTCTACCACTGAGTTCTACCTCCAGCCCTGAGCTTAATTTTCTTATATTATCACACACTATTTTTTTTAATAAAAGTAACTCAGAAAGATGCCTTTATTAAGCAGCATAGCTTATAAATTGATAAAATTCCCACTGCATGATGTCACCCTTTTTAACTCTTGAGGTTCATCACGTGTATCCATCCATTTTCATTGAACTCTTCTTTGAGCTGTTACCTAGTTCCCCCAGTCAACGATGACTTCTTGTCTAAAAGGGTTCAAACGAAGTATTTGGGTGTGTTCATGTGAAAACGATGGTTGTTTTCATAATTGTGCCCTTCTTTGTAGGAGCCAAATCTAAAAAAGAAATAACTGACATGGAAAAATTGTTCAGAGAGGAGGGTTGTTCTTACAGAAAATTCAACCATAAGTTATAGTACTTTTATCTACTTATCACAACATGAGTATTGATACGATCAATCTATAAAACAGCAAGTGATGAAACAGAAATTACAAAGGATTTGTGGGAAAGGCGGGTTGAAATCCTAACTCCAAAGCACTTTCCCTGGTAACAGATCATTTCAAAAGCACAAGCGTTCAGGGATCATCAGTTGAAAATGCTGCTGGAAAAACATGTGAGTTTTCTCTCTGGTCCTGGGTTTGAAGACTACCTGCCTTACAGGCACCTGCGGGTTTATCCGTGTGCATTTGTGCCTGTATAAAAGCTGCCTTGGCTCAGAGCTTCTAAATTGCCCACAATTGCTCATGTGTTGCGCCTCCCTTTGCTTCCCTGAAGGACTGCTAACCACATAGCCTTGGTGGATGTGAGGTAATGCTCAAGGCACAGAGAGCAAAGACCACCGCAAGTGGGCCACGGACTTTCTTTACTACATCGGCGGCCACGGTGAGCAGCGAGTCTCTGTACTGTAGATGACAGGAGTCCCTTTACTTCACCATCTTAAGGTGATAGTAAAGAAATAGTCAAATTTTGCAGAACCTTTGATTCTGTTGTTCTTTACCTACAACTAAATCCTCAGAAAGAAACAAAGAATGTGTCCAAGGACACAAGAAAGACCTTCTGGAAGACTTTTTGTAATAATGAGAGAATCAATATGCAAAATCAACCAAGCTGATTATCTAAAATTCAATACATCTGTACAATGAATATTATGCAATCATGAAATTTTTCAAGGAGGTTATTGTGGAAGAAAGTCCATAACATACTACTTGGATGAATAACAGCAAATTCACAAATAGGAAACACATGTGTATATATGTATGTGTATGTGTAAGTATAGCTATGTCATTTTCCTTTATGTATTAGGAATTAATAATATACATTATTGCATGGTATATAAATATATACAAGTATGAGGTCAGCAATGCTCAGACCCTCACAGAAAGATCAGTTTAAACAACTATCCACATGCAAAAATACCTTCACAAAGGTTAAAGAACTCAAGTGAGTGATAAAAGTACTAGAGTGAAGTATACATCTAATAATTTATCAACAAATGTATGATACACAAGATACATGATCAACAAAATGGTTACTTCCATAACATTTGTTCACGACTGTATCAATGTCTATATCTTGTCAGGGCCATCATTATTATAGGGTTCTTGGGCATTACTCTAAGGTTGTCGAATATTTTTCTCCTTTGGTAATGTAAGTAGAATCTTCTGGCACAATGAAAGTAGTAGGGATGAAGCATCCAAGCCACTACCAGCTTGATTTCTCCATGTTCTATGACTCAAGTATGTGTTGTCTTTAGCAATAAGTTCTTACCATCAATAATGAAGTATAATCAAGAGCAATAGCTTTAGCCTGCAATGTTTGGGGATCTATGGAACTCTAATGACTAACAACTCAAAAAAATGTAACTCCATACCTGGCACTGGGCTTTTTACTTGATAGCCTATGGTGTTTGGGGGAGGCATTGTCCTGCTGTGATGTGATAATTCTGTTTAAACTATATATTAAGAAGCTTCTTCAGTAGCAGATTTCCATATCACATTTCAAGAGGTCTTTAGTGTTAACGGATGGTTTCTAGGAAAGGGAGAGTAAGTTTTCTTCCAGATTACAATTCCTGAGAGGTTACCTATGCTCCAGTGATGGACCTCTACCCACACACATACAGTAAGCACCAAGTGGGCTCAGTGACTTTAAAGAGATAGAGAGAACACATGAAACTGGGAGGGAAAAGTAATGGGAGAGAGAAGTATTGGAGGGAAAGGGGAAAGGGTCTATGTGGTCTTAGCAGAGTTATAAGATGTTTTGTGTAAGCCTCATGTAACTACAAAGAAAAATCTTCAGTAGATAAATCAAGTCGAAAAGGAAGACATCAGGAGAAGAATACAATAAAAAAACCACAAAGCAATCAAAAAACAATTGTATAATGGCAGCTGTTAAGTTATTACCTATCAATTATTTTACATGTAAATGGATCAAATTCTCCACCCATGAAACAGATTGCAATCAAGTGAGGTTTTGTTTTGTTTTGTCCTTTTAGATCCAACTCTAAGCTGCCAGTACAACTCAATTTAGCTTTCGTAGCACACACAGGCTATGAGTGAAGGGCTGCAAAGATACTCCATTCAAATGACAACTAAGAGTGAACAGGGTGCCTATGCTCATAGCAGATAGAATAGACTTTAAATAAAAAACTGTCACAAGAGACAAAGAAGGTAATTATATAATGATAAGGAAGTCAGTTCATCAATGGAATGTAACAATTGTGAGTATGTGTATACTCAGGGTGCCTACATATGTAAATAGATGTTATAAAAGAAGGCATTAATAGAAGAGGAACTCAATAGCCATTTTCAGCAACAGATGCAGGACAAAGCAAATTCAACACTGCACTATAGCAAGATGAACTCAACAGACATATATACAGAATATACCACTAAGGCAGCAGATTAAACATTCTTTTCAAACTCACACATGGAACATTCTCCATAACTGATCCTTTGTTAGGACACAAAGCAGTCTTAATAAATGTAAGAACACTTGAACCATATCAACTATCCTTTCTAAACACAGTAGTATGAAGAAACTGGAAGACAATATTCAGAGGTAAGATTTCAGAATTCACAAATACGTAGAAATTAAAGCAACATACTCACAAACGACCAATGATTCAAAATAATAAAAAAGAAAAAATTAAATTATGGATGTGAGTTAAAATAGAAATATATCAAAACATACAGATATAGTAAGAGTGATTTTAAGAGAGAAGTCTGTAGCAATAATGGTATGAATTACGGGGGAATGATTTAAAGAGACAACTTTATGCCTTAGTAAGCTAGAAAAAGAACAAAACCATGCACTGAGTCAATGTGGGAAATAACAAAGATCAGAGCAAAATAATGAGAGCATAGAAAACCAAAAGATCAAAGAGACTGGGGGTCAGCCTCTAGAAAAGAATGAAAAACTGATAAAACTTTAGCTTCGCTTACTAACACTAAAGAGAAACCTCAGAGAAAATTATGAGTGAAAGGTATCACAGAAATACAAAAGATGGTCAGTCTACCATGAACAAATATCCACCAATAAACTAGATAACCTAAAAATGGATTGATTCACAGGAATATGCAACCTACCAACACTAATTTTTGAAGAAATGCAAAACATAAACAGTTTAGTAATGAGTATGAAGACGAGTCAGTTATCCACCACTCCCTCAAAATCAGCTCAAGACCTGTGGTTCTGTTGGTGTCTTCTAGCATTAAAGAAATGTTAAAGCCAGCCCTCTTCAGACTCTTCCAAGGAATTGAAAAAGAGAGAACCCTTCAAATAAATGTATTTTATTAGGTCAGAATTTTGTAGTCAGAAAATCTGACAGAAAAGCACAGGAGCTAAGTAGACACTTTTCAAAAACAAAACAAACAAAAAACATTCAAACAGCTGGCAGTTATATGGGGGAAATGCTGCATATCACTAACCAAGGGAACACAGGTAGAATCCCAAGGAAAGAGACAGTCCTGTAAGATGGCAGACTAACACTGCCTCTCCGTGACCCGGTTCAGGAGAAGAGTCAGCATAAGACAGAACACACTAAGGCTGGGACTGTAGCTCAACTGGTAGAGGGCCTGGCCTGCCTTGCATACCAATAGCCTTGGGTTCAGTACCAGTGCTGCATACACTCAGTGTGGGACTGTAACTGTGGTCATGAAGACGTGGATGCAGAACAATCAGGAGTTCAAGGTCATCCGTGACTACATAGTGAAGCCTGGGATATAGATCCCGAGAGAGGAGGGGAAGTGGGTGGAGGGAAGAAGGGAGAGAAAGGGTGAAGGAAAGAGAGATGGGGATGGAGGTAAGAAGGGATGGATATGGTCTACCAAAAAGAGGAAGAGATTTGGAAATTCACGAAGGTAGTGAGAGAACAGCTAAAAAGTGCAGAGGGACAGATTGGTGACATGGAAAAATGAGGGGTTCATGCTGAACCCAGCTCTGAATGGCTTTCCACCAGAGGAGGGGAAGCAGAAACCTCATGCAGAAGGGGAGCCAGGTGCCCTCAGGTAATGCCCACAGTGCTCACAAAACCTGAGATCTAGTTGGAGGCTTTGGAGAGACAGTGGTTCCTCTCCCCATCTAGATGGGTCAGCATTAGAGAAGAATCCTACTGTGCCACTCTGTATGATCGAGAGGGGTGGGAGTTGGTGTCATGTTGAAGAGGGACCTACTCTTTAAAGCTAAGCCATCTTGAGTACCTGAGATCAAGGATCAACCACAAGCCAGAAAGCTTGAATTGAACTGGACAGAACCTCAGTGTGAAGGACAGCCCTGGGGGAGGGGGGCTGTTGTGGAATGCATGGAGGGAGGCAGATGCTGGCAAGCCAAAAGGTACAGGTTGGCAGGACATGCAGTAGGATATATTAGATATGAAACTTTAGACTCACAAATATAGGAGAGATGACAGAGTATTTTTCTTTAATTTTGCAAAATACAAATAGACTAGATATTGTAACTGTAATTCTTGCTTGATAAATGTTGGTTATATATAATTTTACTATATTAAAGCTAAAACCTTCCTTTTTTTAATTAGATAGAAAAGGGGAAATGCTGGGGGATGTCTTTCTGTATGCTGTGAATATGTGTTAATAAATAAGCTGCTCTGGCCTATGGCAAGGCAGCTTAGAGGCAGGTGGGAAATCCAAGGAGAGAGACAGGAAGGAGAAAGGCAGAGTCTAGAGAGACACCAGAACTGCCAGGAGAAGCAAGATGTGAAAGTACCGGTAAGCCACGGCCAAGTGGCAACTTATAGATTAATAGAAATGGGTTAGCTAACAAGAGGCCTGCCATAGACCGTACAGTTTGTCAATAATATTAAGCCTCTGAGTGATTATTT